ACTTTTAAACCCTCTTACGCATTGAGCAAGGTGAAAGAGGAAAACGATGCCATCCGAAATCGGATTACCCAATTTTAACAAGCGACGCATTTCTCAACCAAAAACCCAATAAACAAACCAGCCATGGATAACAGAAGACTCTTGATAGCAGCTGTATTTCATTTTGTACATCCAGTGGAAAAAGACAGTTAAAAACATCACAAGTTGACACAAAACTCTGTCAAAGTAAACAACTTTCAAGATGCTGCATAAATTTTCCGCATGAACTCACCTGTCAAATTTTGACCAATCAGAGTACAAAAATTGGACGTAGAGCGTGACCAACGCGTGACCATGGTAAGAAAAGGTCTTCCCCGTCTTTATTTTTAAAAAAGTGGCTGAATTTTCGCGTCCGAGGTCAGTTTGAAATCAAAATCTTGACAGTGCGGGGCCATAGTGACATAAACACAACATATTTCATATGAATCATTGGAAAAAATAGACTTGAGCCTGCGATCATTTGAAACTGGTAATTTGTCAGCGGATAACTTCAAAAAGTACTCGACCTCGATGGGTCGACACTTGAGCCCGCGTTACGGTCAGGTGATACTGGTCAGCGGATATCCTGTTTTGACAGCTGTCAATTGATCACAACATTGATGTACAATTAGTTTTCTATTGGGCTCCCAAACTAGCTAGAAAGTGTGAGAGAAAACATTGGTTCCCCTGTGGTGCGGACGGACGGTCGGGCGTACGGTCACGTGATTACCAAATTTTCTCGGATGGGTAGATTACCACATTTCCTTAGCTATGGAGCTCCGTCCACACGCGCGCGCTTCGCGCGCGGGTGGAGCTCCGCTAATAGGAGTTCAGGCTTCAGGAGTACTTATTGATCGTTTATTGCGACAGTGCTCTTTTCGTATGGTCCGAAATTGTAGGACCACACTCATCAGGCAACTTCAACGATTGACCGTTAAAATTAAAATACAGATGCGTTAAGAGATTGTATCTAGGTAACATATAATATATGTACATATACGACTGGACAAGCTGAAACAACCTAACGTTAATTTGAAAATCAGCAGTATAAATGCCATTTAAAAGCTAAACGATTTTTTTCTTATCTAAGGAAAACCAAACGATTTTTTTCTTATCTGAGGCACAATGCCATCTATTTCCAAGTAATTGTGCAGCGGAGCTAAACGTCTTTTCACGCAGAGCAGCAAAACTTGGGTAGTATAGGAAATAATGTTTCACGTCTTCAAAAGATGCATCACAAAGAGCACAGGCAAATTTTTCTGAAAAAAGGTCATAATTTAAGGCGCCCTTCGGGGATCGCCGGAATAGCCGAGTAACACTTATTACCATACATAGATCTTACAATACGCCACCATTTTTTGGAAGAAATTGCTGGATCACTAAGAGCTAGGTTAGTCTTTGTATTATAATTAACCTTCGCTTTCCTGACGAGACTAACTACTAAGTTCCTCCGAACACGATAACGATCCCAGGATGTAGGTGATTTATATTTGGAATAAGTTTTTAAAAAACGATCATGCTTTCGAACGGCTTTACGGATCTGACCAGTCATCCATGGTTTGTCGCGAAGTAGAATAATCACTTTCTTATGTGGTAAATCAGCCATTTGCAACAAACTTTCTTGCAAGTCAATATAATGACCAGATACGGGTGGTAACAGATTCTGAAAAACTTCTTCACTCTCTTTCTCGATTTCACTATCAGCCCTGGCTTGAGGTATGTTGTGTAGGGTGCCAATGTTTTGCTCTGATATGAATTTCATTAAATCTTTAAATGGTACTAATGAGGGCACCTTACAACCTTCTTTGAACTCTGTTCGCCTTCGCTTTCTTTTGTTGCCATTTAAGTCAAACATTTCCGACGATCGCAACTCACAGTATTTTCTATTGCTTAGAATACCACTTCTATAAACAACGCTTAAAGATCTTTCAAAAATTTTTGGTGGATTTGTCAAACTTTGCAACAGCATTATTTACTACTTTAGGTACAACTAAACTAACCCTTAACAGACGAACTACACAAATCAACAATATCTTTTTGGTTGGCATAAGATACAAAACTGTTCCACAGTCTATTCACAGTATTGCCTCTTGGTAAGTGTACTTTTTCATCCTCGAGTAAGCCACGCTAAAAAAGACAGTAAAGCATAAGCCAGTAGCAGAAAAAAACTCTGTTTACCAATCATAACTGAGCACGGGTAATGCACACCGAATCCCAAAGCACTCACAAAAAGCATTCTGTAAAAGACTGAGTTGGTTAATATCCTCCTGCAGCTGAGCATTGCTTTCCTTTAGAACACTGGTTGTCTCTTTCGCATTTACAGCCTCCTGCTCAAGACGTTTAATGCTTTTGCTCGCTTCCACGAGTCCTACCTGCTTATACTTTGCTCTACGAGCCCACTCTCCTGTTGGAAACCTCTCTCGGCTTCTCGTGCGCTTCGACGTCTCCTTGGTCTAAAATCTTCAAAACATCTTGAATACTCTCGAAATTTTCATGCCACGTGCTTCAGTGAAAAAACAAGGATCGTATCGTTTCGGTTTCTTCGCAGAATGAACAATAAAGGCGAAAGAAAGACTGCAACTTGCCCAAGGTGAGCTTCTAAATGCCCCGAAACGTTTGTCGTGTTTCCATGGGCCGAAAAGGTTAAAAAATAATCCAAAAGGTAGCAAATTTGGTATCAATTTAAAGATAAAGACTTTTGACTCAAGAACAACAGAACAACAGGCTAGTCACCATGCCCCCTCTTCTCCATTGGGGGCTTTTGATGCCCAGGATCAAAAAACCTCAGTGTGTTATGTCGGACCACTTTTTGTAAAGTCTACCGGAGAGGAAGAGCGTAAGGTGTGGATATGTTTGTTTACCTGTTGTTCTACGAGGGCGGTCACTTCGAGGTCTTACCCAGTATGACTTTAGAGGCATTTCTGAGGTGCCTTAGAGGATTTGTGGCTCGACGTTCAAGGCCTTCTTTAGTGGTATCGGACACCGCCAAACCTTCAAGAGTGCTTCTTAGGAGCTCGAGAGAATTACAAATCATTCCAGTGTCATCAAGTATTTTGCCCGAGAGAAAATCTTAGAGGGCCCCCATGGTGGGGAGGATTGTACGAACGACTTGTCAAGTCACCGAAGAGAATTCTTAAGGAGACGAACCAACGACCACGCCTTCTTTTGGATTCTAAATTGAAATTTATCTCATACATACTGAGTGATTCTGTTTGAGTCAACCTGAGTGAAAACACGGTTCGCGTCTTTCTTTAATCAACCAATCAGAAAAGCGAAACGGCTTTTTCATGTGTGAGTAGAACGTTTCGACCAATTACGGCGCACCCACCAAAAGCAACCGTGTTTTCGATAGCTTTGTGTTTTCATTAACGGTTTTATTCTGGCAGCTTTGTCAAAAAGATAAAACGTTTAGAATTTTGGTTTGCATAATATCTCAAGAAAACTGCCAGAAGAAGCTTTTATGGCTGAAGGAGAAATTATACTCTGAGAAAAGACCTTGCTCGATGCAGAGAGTCGAAGCACCGTACTACCTCTGCATAAATCACAGCAAAAACTCCAGTAAATGCTGGTTCAAGGCGAGTTCGATGGGAGTCAATAAACTTACCTCTTTAATGAAAACAATGGCAGGACAAGCTGGCTTCGAGCGACGACTAACCAACCATAGCGTGCGAAAGCGAATGATGCAAAAACTGAACGATAGCAATGTTCCTCAGACGCACATCGTGCAGCTCTCTGGTCACCGAAATTTGTGGAGCGTTAACAATTACAGCACTTTGTCAAAAGAGCAGCAGAAAAATATGTTGATTTTGAGCGACAATTCAGCCCCACCAAGCACAGCGCATGCTGCTAAAACTTCGCAAACAGTGCCAACTGCGGAATCCTCCTACTCGAACAGTTCAGTTATTCCTGCCTAAGGCGCATTTAGTGGAGCCGTTTTCACGGAGGGCACTTTAATACTACAATAAATACGCTGAAAAAGTCACCAAATACCTCGAAATGTTCTGTTTCTACTGTGGCACGGGGCTACAAAAAAAAAAACAAGCGAGTTCTCAACTCATCCGATGAGGACAGCCCACCTGCTGCACTATTCCAGTGACAATTTTTGTCACAGCTTTTCTATCGGTAGTACTATTCGGTGTTCTAGGGGTTATTAAATGATGTAGTCATCTTAGACTGTCTTGAGTCAGCAAATCGTATTTCAGTTTTATTCAATCTTTTGTCAATATTTTAACCCACAACATTTGTGGAGCCCAATGAATGATGTATTTTTAGGGCATGTGGTTTGAGCTGGCCCTTGTTTCTTAAATTCGCTGATCATTTTTTCTAAATAAAGAGACGAAATGTTCAGTATGTATGAAATAAATAAATTACTTTAAGGCGCAGGGCGCTTGTGCGGGATTTTCACACCCGTTGTTTGTATCAGAAATCTCACTCGCTCGTTCGATTTCTGATACATCACCAACTCGTGCGAAAATCCCGTACGCGCGCGCTGCCCATGAAGTAATCTCTATATCTGCAATTGCTTGATTTCAATTCAAATCTCTTTTTTTTTCGTTCAGAAGTACTGTACGCAGTGCTTATTGCATTCATCCTCAGCACATCATGAGGCGAGTTGTCTTTAAATACCGGTTGCCTGTTATTAACCGAATGTGATATTCACTATTTAATTTACGCACTTTAAACAGTTATCCAAACCTGCAATATAGAATGATCTTGAAAGAAAATACCCTACAAAAAATGATGGGAAATTTTAAGTTACACTTTAAGCCTAACAAATTAAAAAACCCAAAAAACAAAGAAGCAAAGAAACCATTTTGTGACTTACTCCTTATCTAGGAAACCATTATACTTAAAGTAAAACGAAGTGTAAAGAGTTGTTGCTTAAATCCTGGAGCTCTTTTCTGGCCTGTCTGATTTTTTTCTCTCCAATTGAAGGCATTTCACCACCTTGAACTGCAGAGGAAAGAGAAATAGCTAAACAGATGGCCTCCGTATCGGGAACGTCCCAGGAGCAGCGCCGGTGGTTAGTGGTGGGCATTGCTCTTCATCATGTCCTTACTCCATGCCTCAGAGATAAGATCAAAGCTGAATTGACTCCATTCTACCAGCATTTGGTACGAGGCTTTGGACTGGACAAACAGACCTACTCAGCCTTCCTGAAGAATATCCCAACGTCCACGGTGAAATTGAACTATGAGAGTATCAATAATAACCACACTGTCCTGCACCGAAGCCACTACGACTACTGCGTAAAGGATGAGGTGTCTTTGGCCAAACTGTTTATGAAGCCTTTCATGGCGCACTTCAGTGCATTTGACAGTTCCTTTGATTCTTCAGCTGCTCTTGCCGTTCTCTGCGAAGCATTGCCATTCGCGTCTGTTAAACTGATTGCTGAGGATGTGAGATCAAACGTTCGTAACAAGTGGGCCCATTGCGACTTCATGGCTTGGACTGCAGCGCACTACGATACCTGCTTTGATCTCATGGAGGCTCTGGTTATGAATTTAAAAATTGGGCCTGCTGATGAAAAAAGACTTCTTGATAAATTTAAACTGTGGAGAACACAAGGTACAGTTACAAAAAGTGCAGTGTGAGTTAAGTCCTTTATTTACAGATTTGTTGAGTGAGCCGAGGACCAGAACTACTCAAAAACTTCCTCGCCCCTAGGTGGGTCAACCTTTGTAGCCGTAGAATACATATGCAACACACGCTCCCTTTTTCTAAAGAAACTGTTACATCTTTCTCAGCTATTTAGAACCTCCCTATCACTGGCAATAAGCATTCAAGTGAGTGTAATTTATTTGCCTGTCACTAAGGCTGTCGCTTGACATCTTCCATGGTTCATCTCGATATGTTAGTTTTGCTTCTTACTAATTTTTTTTTATACAGGGCTGGAGATATGTCTTGGTAAAACGATCGATGACACTGTTCTGCAAGTTTTACGAAACGAAGTTCAGCGACTGTCGGACTCACTAGACGACCAACGCAAAAAAGAAGGTGAAGACGTACGAAGTATTTGTTCAACTCTTGCCTTGTTCAAGTCTGAATTCGATCGAGCCACAATGGGTCTAAAACAGCGGTACTCGAAACTGGAATCAACTTGTGAAGAGCTAAGGAACAACCAAGATGTGCTCAAGAAAGAAATATATTCCATAGACAAAGGCCAGAGTGAACGTCTTAGCATATTAGAGGTACAGGATGAAATGAGGCAAGAACAAGTAGATGACCTTTTCAGGATTTTGGAAGTGAAAGAGGAAATTATTAGAAGGGACTTAGAGATTTTGAAGGCAAAAATAGAAAGTATTGCACTCTCAGACGGTCCCAAAAACGTCGTCTTTGACGCTCCAGAGCAAAACAAATGGTTTACTGGAAGAGAAGAGGCAATAGAGAAGCTTGAGAGATTTTTCACCTTCCAAAGTGTTGGGGAATTACAAATGGCAGCCCCTTGCGGTCTTGGCGGTTGTGGAAAGACAACTTTGGGAGCTCAGTTTGCTTGGAAACATAAGGGTAAATATGAAGGAGGTGTATTTTGGATCTCCATGGAAGATGACAAGAAGCTGGAAAAATCTATGAATGACTTAGCCTTGCGTTTAGGAATATTAGCAGACACTTTTGATTTGACATTATCCAAGGTTCTTACTTGGATCTCACGGCAGAAAAAGCGATGGCTTTTGGTCCTTGATGACGTTGACCAGCTTCATCTATCTGAACAAATGCACAAAGTTCTGTCTGGTCGATGGAAAAGGCAAGCAGGAGGCCACATACTGCTAACAACTAGACGTGAACCCAAAGTAGTTTGCGAGTCCATGGATCTCGAGGAAACTTGTTGTGTCGAGATTTTCACCTTCTCAGATGAGGAAGCAAAGAGTTTCCTTGCTACGCGATGTGAAGGTACAGTTGGAGAATTTAAGGGTGAGCTGGATGAGCTGGTTCGTGAACTTGGCTGTCTACCGCTCGCTTTAGAACAAGCTGGTGCGCATATAAAGGCTGTTCAATGTAGCTTTGGTACCTACCTTGTAGAGTACAAAAAGCAGAGGCTAAAGTTGTTAAATCGGCACCCACGGGCAAAACCATCTTGGGAATACGAGTCTAACAGTCGACTGGCAGTACACACGACATGGCTTTTGAACTTTGAGTACGTCAGAAAGTCATCACACGGAGAGGTTGCATCCCGGTTTATGGAGGCTGCAGCATTTTTGGAGCCGAACGAAATTCAAGATGGCTTAATCAATCTTCCTCTACTTTCCAATGAAAAGCCATCTCAGCAAGAGTGCTACCATTCTGTAGTGACGAAAAATGAAGTGGTGGAGATTTTGACAAAATTTTCACTTTTTCAACGGAAAGGTCCAAACTCTTTTGGTTTACATCGTTTAGTCCAAGAAGTCATTCGCAGCATGATGACAGTTGAGGAAACCGCCTCTTCGCTACTTAGGGCAGTAAATCTTCTTTACCAAGCCTTCCAAGATTGCCCTTCTCCGGATCAAATCCTTCTAGATATAGCAGCAAATGCGCAAGAACAGCCATCGACAGCTGTTAACAACCCTTCTTTGTTTTTTTCGTGGTCGCAGTTAACCTATCACTCTTGTGAGCTACAAAAACACATAAAGGGCTTGATAGATCAGCAAAGTATCGAACGAGATATCAAAACAACCGTTTTAACTCGCGAGGCTTCCCGCATTGTGTATGAAAACGCTGTGCAGTTAAGTGTCCACGGCCATCATGAGGAAGCCAAGGAAACCGAACGTTTCGCTTTTCAAATTCTGAATTCCTGTAAAAGTGATACCGAGGTTGCCTTAACTCTTGACGAGTTAAAAAAGCTCTTCCCTCATACTCTGCCTATTCCTCAGCTGTTACAAAAAGTCATTTCCTACTCATCTTGTCCTTCGAATCCAGACCACAACCAAGCCGTTGCAGAAAATGACGATGATTTAATTGCTCAGTTGGATAGGTTTCGTTTAAGAGGAAACTCCCTTTTTAAAGAAGGACGTTTTCAAGAAGCAGTTGAAACGTACACGGAAGCACTTGAAACAGATAATAAGGCAAAGAACCTGGATCCACGCCTATTAAACAATCGCGCAACTGCGTATCTCAAACTGGGAAATTACAGCAAGTGCCTCTCAGACTCTGAGGAATACGTTAAACTAAAACCAAACTGCTGGAAAGGATACACAAGGAAAGCTTTGGCTTTGAATGGGCTTGAAAAGAAAGGCTCTGCTTTATGTCTCGCGGCTATGGCATATTATCATGAAGCGAGAAGTTGTCGACGTTATGAACCTTTTCATACCACGTTTAAGCACCTTGATGGAAAGTGGGAAGTTGTTGACTCTTCTGAAGCACTCCGACGGTGCATAATTCAGAATAAACGTCCACAGGGGAGAAAGAAAGTTCTTCTCCTTACCAACGAAGAGTATGAAATTGAAGGCGGACCAGTTGTTCAAATCAATGAAGTGACAAATATTATGAAGAATCTCGATGGTTCTAATGATATTGTTGACACCACTTTGACAGCTTTCTGTGATGCATCAGATGTCACAATAAACTGTAGTGGTCTTCGCTTCTCAAGGGAGTGTTTTCTACAAAATATATCCTTTATAACGCAGAGAACAATTTTTGTCGCACCAGATGGACTCGTGGAGTTCACCAATTGTAGATTTAAGAGCACTGAGACACAGAACTCAGCTGTTGTGGTCTATGGAACAGCAAAGCTGATGAACTGCACCATCACTGATAGCCCTGGAGGAGGAATCACAGTTGAAGGTTTCAACTCATCAGCTTTATTGGAAAAATGCGAAGTGATGGGAAATGGTAAAGAACCACGAACCTCATCTGGAATAAAAGTGTTCGACGAAGGAAGCATAGTTGTCACCAAATGCTTAGTTCATGGGAATACCGAGGGAATTCTTGTTTCTGGAACTAGATTTAATGACAGCGTGGCAAAGAAAGCCCACATACAAGAGACCGAGTTATTTGATAACAAATTCGAGGGTGTTCGCGTGTCAGGACACCATTGTTTGTCTTTTGATGAAGTAGTTATATCCAGAAACAGAATTTACCATAACGGCGGGTTTGGCATTGAAGTATCATTTTTCGCGGACAATATAGTGTTTGAAGAAAATATGGTATTTGAAAATTTCTGGTGGGGAGTATGGGTGCAGCGCAATTCAGGAGGCTCATACAAAGGTAACGAGATATGCAACAACAAGATGGGTGGTATACGAGTTGGTAAGCGAAGCCCGGGAAAGCCTCCATGTGTTGTAGAGTGCAATGTCATCCATGATAATCGTGGTCCCGCTTTCTATGAAGGTTTAAAGTATTTTGAAGAATGTTCTTTTCCAGGGGAGCTCCACTATTATTTCGAAAGGCATGAGAACTTCCCTTTTTATGAGAAGTTCTTAGCCACTTTAAGAGGCCAAAAAGACGCATTTGAGGTTTCTCTTCCTGGTGCAGTTTCAGCGTTGTATAAATCAAACAACCACTGCTATAACAATGGAAGTACGCAAATGAACTTAAAAGCAGCATCTTCGAAAGCAAACTGTGCCTTTTGCTTTCGAAATGACGTGAAATTGTTGTCTTGCAAAGGCTGTATGACTTCACGGTATTGTGGTAAAGAATGCCAGAAAATGCACTGGGGCAAACACCGGTACATGTGTCAAGCTATGGGAAAGATAAATACCATCGAGGTTAAAATTCCAGTTACCTATGTAGGCAAAGATCTCGGTGTTACACGCTTTGGTCTTACACATCCAAGTTTAGAGCCAACGGGTCCACAGCATGCGTCTCCTCCCCCGAGAGATGGAAGACGGTTTGTTGTTAAACTGCAAACGTGGGAAGGACTGCTGCACAATAATAAAGTTCTCGATCCGAAAGGGTATGTCAGTGATGAATATAATCCGCAAAAAGCCAAGATTTCCATATATGACAGAAGCCGTAACGTCGATTTTGAAATAAGAAATCAGCCAAAGCTTTACCACTTAATCATGGAATGTGGAATGATGGGATCGTTTATGTATCTTGCCAAGAAGTTGTTTTGTTGGGCAGTATTCAAAGATGAAAAAACCCTTCAAATTATCACTCACGAGTTTCCGCCCGTACAGAGATGGTGAGAAAAAGATAAAGTCGGCGTTACTAGCATGGGAATCATTACGTTCCTTTTCTAGCATGGCTATAGCCATAATTATGAAAATTAACGAAGCATGGCTGGACCATCTTTGTTGTTTGAGAAAGCTCTTAGAAAGCCTCCTGGTGCAGCAGATAAAGATGGCCATAATGTTACTTTACCAGATATTCTTCCAGTTATCCAGTGGCTGAATCTACCTTTAACTAGAAAGGTAAGCTTGTGGCTGAGCACCCAATAACTAAATGAAAGCATATTGTTCAATGGGCAAAAAAAAAAAATTCTGACAGTCTGTCCTCATCAATAATATTACTTTTTTTATCAAAATTATGTACTTCAAAAAGGGAAAAGCCTATTTAAATGCCAGCAGAAGAAAAGAATGGTTCTTGATTTCATATTGAGCGTTTGTTCTGAGTTGTTTTACTGATATAGAGCATGTATCATGCTGACAGAGCTGTGCTCTAGCATTGCAATTGCCTGAGGCCTCTGGCACCTTATTTTTGATCTTGAGCGACTGAGAATGCTTAGTATTTTCATAGCAGTCATAAACTTGGCATCCTGGATTTATCTCTAGAATGTTTCTTAGAGCACAGCATCCTTTAAGCAGTCAATTCATAGCAGTCCTCTTTTGAATCTTAATGTATATTTTTTGTATGTTGTATTTAGGTGGATTATCATTGCTGCCCCAGTGAATTGGAAGCAGCTGATTATCGAGAATTTGTAAGTGGGTTTTATTCCTTTTAGTTTAAGTGATTCCTTCAAGTGTTCCATCTTATAGAAAAACATAAACAATTCTAAGATGTAAACCTCAACCCAGGTGGTTGCTCTTGATCCAATGACAACAAAAAGAACGTCGAGTTAAAGAAACTTACATTTGAGGGGTTCTGTAGTTTACCTTTTGTACTACATTTTTTTCCTTTCATTTGCCTTCAGGCAGATGACTATTTTCAAATTAGAAGATTATAGACAATTCTAGGATCTAGCATATTTTATGAGGTATGGATTATTATTTTCCTGTACTTTGTGAATCTGTTCCTATTGCCTGTATGAAACTCTTATGCATTTTTAATGTACATGGAACCTAACAATACTAAGTGGGGTGCATTGGGTTTGTCAGCAGCAAAAATGTATCCTCTTGATACAAGAAATTAAGTGCACAACTGATCTGCCAAATAAATTATTTGAGCTGGTTTCCATGGTGAAAATGAATTAACAGCATTATCTTGTGAGTTTATTTGTTATAAATTTCCCATTACTGCTTTGCAGGGATATTTAGTTGCCAGTCATTTACCAAGAGAAGATTTAGAAGATGTTGTATTATATTGTAAATTTCACTGTTTACTGGCCATGAGTGCAGAGCAGCGTGTTGGACAACTTTTCATCTGGAGGGAGGTAGGTGTTTAATTTTCATTTATATTTATTATTTATTTTATTTATTTTTATTTTACTTTTCTTTTATGCATTCTGCATCTTTGCTCAGTCAAGCTAATTACTGGCTTTTTAAAGGTATTGTTGCTGAAGTCTCTTTCATTGATCTACAGTGCAGTCCAACCCTATTAAGTGGCTCCTTTCACAGTCACCCATTTTAGGGTCCTGTTAGATTTTGTTAGTCACTGTAAACAGAACCTTTTTCAAAGTGGCCACTTGTCCCTTACCTGAGGGCGGTTGCTTAATAGGGGTCCAAATGTACATGCATATGCTTGGTTCTCATCCTATAAATATCCATGTAAGTGCAAAAGCAAGAAGATAAGTTCACTCTGCTTGTTCTGCAGGGCTCAAAACTAAGTCCTGTCTGGTTGTCTGAGACGGGTAGTTTTTCTTACTGGGCAAGAAACTGTTAATTTGCACACTTGCCTGACGGGCGAGGATCCAGGCAAGTCATTGTGTAACAAAATCATAAGCTAAGACAAACAAGTAGTTTCTCCGGGCAAGCAAACGTGAGTGCTTGGCCAAAGGACTAGCCTGCCTTGTTTATATTCGTCCCTCCCCTAAAAAATCCGGTCATGTTGAAACGCAGACCACGCAGACTGCAGACTGCAGATTGTGCCGGTGTGCGACAAACGCAGACTGCAGACTTGCAGACCGCAGACCTGCAGACTTGCAGACCTGCAGACTTGCAGACTTGCAGACTTGCGGACTTGCAGAGACGTTCGGAACTCACGGGGAGGGGGGGGATAATTGCCCCCGCAGGTTCAATCCCGAGGAGGCACTCTAGTAACTCGCGCGTATATTAAGGAAAGTACTTACAGTTGTAATATACAGTCAGTATGGCAGAAAAAAATCTCGATTTGCTTGAACAGGGCCCGCGAGGAATCGTTAGGTAATGATGACGTGATGAAGACAGAAAATTTCGAAGGGACCGGTCAGGTAGATTTTGTGACATTTATTGTGCACTCATACTTCGATACTCTTTTGCGTTACTTGTTATCAGTGACATTCTGTGGAGCAGTTGGTTCAGTGAAAGTTATGGACCAAAAGACACTCGTTAAGCGCAGATGAAGTTATAAGGTGCGTACAACCGTGTATATAGAAACACTTGGAGATTTTACCAGACACGAGTTCACAAATCTTTGATTGGAAACCTTGCCAGACACTCTTTCTCTCTCTTTGACCGGAATAAGACTCAGCCCGAAACAAGCAAGACGAGTGAACAACGGCTAGCTTATCACTAGCAGAACGATGGACGATTACAGAAATTCGCCAACAATCAAATTCTGTGCTGACTTATTTCCTGCTCACATATGTCCTTCCGTTTTAAAGCCGCTCGATGATCCCACCCGTCTTCTTCTTCGCTGCTCTCGCTGAAGTTTAGGTCACCGTTCTTCTGATGTTAAGTCTTCCACGGCAAGGATTTCCAGTCACCTGTCGAATCGGGCACTGTTGTGTTTGCAGCCCGTTAGCGCTGTTGTTTGCCTCAGACATACTTTGCGATTCGCCAACAGTAAACAGAGGATGAATAAAATTAGTCCAAAGCCCTGTCACAAAAAATGTAGGTCTGCAAATCTTCGAGTCTGCAAGTCTGCTAGTCTGCAAGTCTGCAGGTCTGCAGGTCTGCAGGTCTGCAAGTCTGCAGTCTGCGTTTGTCGCACACCGAGATTGTGCAGACCGTACAAACTGTGCAGACCGCGTGTTATTCTTTTTACTTGTACCTTAATTTTCTAGTAGAATTTTTATTATAGTTTCCTGCTTCCTGTCATTATGTACACTGTGCATCACTCCCATGTACCTACAAGGGTCATGGCTAAGAATTGGGAAAATCGCGGGCTCATGTTTACCGGCAGATGTAAAGGCAGTGTCGCGCGCTTTTAGCTGCGCCGCTTTCACGCAGGAGCGATCACGATGGAGCAAGCTAAGCTGTTTCTTTCTGTAACTATTATATTGCCACGATTGTTTAAATTTTTTTAGTAGAAGAAGCTTTTTCAGGTTAAGTGGCTTAAAATAAAACCCTTTTCGGCTTCCTACAACGGATACAAGAGAGAAATTTCCTCAATTTCCTTGATTGATGATGATCGTGTTTGGTTTCACTCTGTAATTCAAACCGGTGACTTGCCGTCATTTCTTCAAATCTTACACATACCGATGTCATCGTTGTTAGCTCAGAAGATTCGGGTAAGACTTTTGTTTATGTATTTTTTTTATTCGATTCCCAAGAGTGTCCCTCTGCGCGGGTTTTCACTCGGGGATCGACAATTGTATTTACTCCATGCATTCACGCTAATATTAAAGTGGTAGTGGTTTTAAACCGGCACATCGGTGCACATATGATAGTGATCCACAGTGCACATAATGAGAGGAAGCGGGAAACTATAGTAAAAATTTTACTAGAAAATTAAGGTACAAGTAAACAAAATAACACTCAGTCTGCACGGTCTGCACAGTCTGCAGTCTGCAGTCTGCATGGTCTGCGTTTCAACCTGACCGTAAAAAATACGAGCTCCCCTTAAAACTCCCGCGTAGGAGGCTACCAAAGCAGTAGGACGTGCCAGAATTCAAGTTTTGTGGTTGTTGTTTTCCGAGCACTGTTCACACTACTTAAAACTAAATCGACTCCAGATTTTTCCAACAAGATGAAGTTCTAAGAGCAGAAGAGAAGAGGATAAGGAGTACCGTGAACCCCCAGCAAGATATTTCTTGCTCATAGTAGGCATGGTAAGACACGCCTAGTGGTTTATGTACTGTTAAGTCCCAAAACTGGCAAACATCAATTTTCTCCCAACAATATCAGTACACAATCGATAGCAGAGGTTGTGAGAATTAATGAAATAATCACCTTAGAGAAAATGCTTTGATCTTCTACCAAATTCTCTCAACTTATTCTTCATAGAAATGTGTAGAGACCAGTTTGGAGAATTTGTATGTGGATATTGGGGTTTAAAGAGGTAAGAGAAGAGGGTTAAGGTTATAGGGTGGAGTTTTCAGACTAAGATATTTCGTGTGGGAACATTTCCAAGAGCACTGTCAATTTACAAGTGGTGTCTTGGTGAAATGCCTGCTAAGAGTGCCTATATATAAGAATTTGGGTACCATTATTGTGTGGATTTCTTTTTTAAACTTAAACTGCTACCTATTTTGTCTTGTTTTTCACTTTGGTAATTGTGATAATTGTCGTAAACTGAAGCCTGCTTCAGCAATCTGGTGCCTAACTCCACCAGGGGGGTGTAGCCAGCTTTTCAACTAGTTGTAGGCCTGGCTAACTTTCATTTGGACATACCCTGAAAATTGCCCGCATGACTAGTGCGCAGTGACCTCACCCAACAGGTTGAGCTCTTAAGATTTTTAGCTCACCCCAAGCGGTAGATTACAAGCGTAAAGAGATCAAACCAAAAATTTGTAGGCCCAGGCCTACAGCTCTATAGGCTGGCTACGTCCCTGCTCACTCCCAAGCAGACCTGCGTAACTGTACATAAATAATTATATAGAAGAATAATTAGGAGCTCTGACCAAAAGTAAAGGAACTTTTTTGTATAAAGTTATTTCCATTCTTATTGC